CAGTCAACAGCAAGCCAGGCTTAGCTCCTTCTGGCTCCATCAGTAGCTTCCTCTTCTCTTCGTGGTCAGCATTTCCCTGAGGTCCCATTCTCCACTTCTCTCTGTGTAATCTCATTTAGTGACATGGCTTCATTCCATCTCCCTATGACACCATCAAGGTTAAGAGCATGGATTCTGAGGCCAGCCAGGTTCAGCCCTTGGTTGGCCCATGACTAGCTATGTGGCCCTGGGCAAGTTATTTAACCCCTCTGTGCCTCAGTTTTCCATCTGTGAATGAGGATAGTAATAGTACCTACCCCATGGAGTTGGGTAAGAATTAAGTGACTTCTTATGTGTAAGATCCCAGGCACAGAGAAAGTCTGTGTCAGCAGCAGAGACAGACCCTACATCTTCCCTTGAATAAACTGAAGGATCCTCAAAGGCAGCAAATAAGAATACTCTGAGCTCAGGACCATTTTCAGACACTCACCCCATTCAACAGTGTAGGGGGTCTCCATCTACCTTATTGTCTGGCCAGAGACTCGAAAGTACCCTTGACCCTGCCCATCGTGCTGAAAATTACAACGATTTTCTTTCTGAAATCTCTTATCAATCAGACCCCTGCTCCCCACCCCTCCCCCAGTCCAGATGGATGCCATCCGACTCTACCAGGAAGTGACAGACACTGGCCTCCTCTGATCTCCTACCCCAGCTCCTTCTCATGAACTGCCATGCAGCAAAGGTGAGGGTAACTAAAACACACACTGATCACCCCACCCCCTCACTGGGAACAGCTTCCAGTGCCCCCCACAGCCTTGGCCCTCGGGCCTGAGTGCAAGGCCCTTGATTCCCTTCTCATCCTCACCCACTGGCACCATGCCCACCATCCTCAAGCCCCACCCAGACAGATCCCTTTCTCTTTCAGGGCTCAGGGCTTTGGTGAGCTGGCTCAGTCCTGCAGCTTTCTATGAGCTGTGCCTCTCCCAGTAAACCCTTCTCTTTGACTTCCTGGTGAACACTGGATCCATGAGAGTCAGGTCAAAAGTCTCCTTCCCAAGGGGCCTTTTTGATTTCCCTAGACTGAGCTAAGTGTCCTCTTCTGTGTGCCCACAAATATTCTTTTCTTTTTTTCTTTTTCTGAGACAGAGTCTTGCTCTGTCACCCAGTCTGGAGTGCAGTAACCCCATAGCTCACTGCAACCTCCACCTCCCAGGTTCAAGTGATTCTCGAGTTCCAGCCTCCAGAGCAGATGAGTCACTGGGATTACAGGCACACACCACCACGACCGGCTATTTTTGTAATTTCCAGTAGAGACAGGGTTTCACCGTGTTGGAGGCTGGTCTTGAACTCCTGACCTCAGGTGATCTGCCCACCTTGGCCTCCCAAAGTGCTGGGATTACAGGGTGAGCCACAGCACCCGGCCCAAGGTCTCCATTTTTTGAATACCATATCACCCTGTGTTGTATTGCTTTCCACCCAGCTCCCAGCACAGGGATAGGCATACAGCAGGTGCTCTGTATATGCTGAGTACATGAGTGATTTGAACTGCAGTGTTACCAGGGTGTCCTTTATGCCAGGGAAGGTGTGTCCCATTGGGCTGAAGTACATAGGAGGCACTCAATGGCTCAGGCTGGGGGAGGAGTGGGAGATTTGAGGCAGACATTTGATCTCTCAGCTCCTCCCAGGGAGGCAGGGGACAAGGTGAAAGCAAGACGCTCCCCGCCCAGATCCTAGGCCACAGAGGAGAGAGGAATGCGTCTCCTGGGGTGGACCTGGGAAGTGGGGAGGTCAGGGCCCGCCCCTGGGAAGCCCAGCAGACAGCCTCCTACATACATTCAGGACTGCTGGGTTCTCCTACCAGGAAATCCGCAGGCAGGGTAGACTGTCACCTCCCCCAAACCTCAGCCAGGTGTCAGCATCACCCCTTCTGGCTCTCGTCCCTGTGCAGGCACTCTGGAGCTCGGGGGAAGGAGGTGGAGCCAAAGCAGCCCGGACTGAGCAGAAATCTCATCTTCTTTTTCTTGAAATGCAGCCGGAGGGAGCAGGGTTTCACAGCAAGAACTTCCTGGCTGTGCATTTCTTCTGCACTTATTGCCTGTATGTACAGTCTCGCCATCTATCTCACGCCGTCTCTCTTGAGCATCGTGAATGTGCTCATACACACACAGATGCAAACAGACACTTAGGAATTCATAGCACAGGTTCTCAGACCTGCAGATAGACTTACAATAACACAGACACACCACAGTGCACCGTGGCAGAAAGCCCTTCATCCTCTGCTTGCTCACGTCTGAGGACAGAGCTCATACCCTCTGAAGGCCTCCCTCTGCCCTGGAGAACAGCTCTGGCTGTATATCCAAATGTGTCTTCTTACCACTCCCCTGTGGCCCTGGCTTACTTGCAGTTTCCCACAGAATCCCCTGCCTCTCTCTGTCCTGCAGACCCATCCTGCAGGCTCCCCTGAAAACTCCCAGGCATTGCTTATCCCGGGCGGGCAGGTGTCTCCTGTCCCCGCTAGTCTGCCACTTGTGCTTGGGTGAGGTCCAAGCAGCCTAGAGAAGATGGAACCCTCCCCCATTATCTGCTCTCCTGCAGCCACTCCAGTGTGGCATCCTTACCAGAGTGGTAAGGGCCACAGAGAGAGCTACACTACACAGTCAGAGTGACAATGCCAATAGCGAGGTAGGCGGGCCTCCCTCCCCACTGGCCACGTCAACAGAGGGGCAGTGAACAGATCTGGAGACCCTGCCTGTTCAGCCTACTGCAGGCATCTCTGGGAATGAAATGGACTGACGTCTGGGCTGCTGGGTTCTCTTTTATTTGCCAGGTAAGACAAAGAACAGGTCACAACATCACAGGGAATAAGACTGACAGAAGGACAGATACACAGAGTGTCATGCTGTACTACATAGGGAGCAGGGGAGGGTACAGGCACGGGTGAATTAAGTCTTGCTTTTTCAACTAACAGAATAAATAAATACAGTACACAGTGTTTTTGCCATGGGCTGGCACAAGCTCTAAGCACAAATGGTCACAAAACAGCTGGTTTGGAAAGCAGTCTGTACAGCCCACCAGCCTTGGAGTTGGGGTGGGGACCCAGGTCCCTGGACCATGCTCTGGGGGAGTGAGCAAGCAGGGAAAGGGAGACTCCGATAGGAGGGAGGGGCCAGGCTTGAGGCATTCCGCATTCTGCGAAGGGACAGTCAGAGCTTGAGCCTCTGGTCTCAGGCCCAGGTTGGCCCCGCAGGCCTGGGAGGGGCTCCAGCATGAGGTGTGGTGGGCCTGTACCCTCTGCCCACCAGAAGGGACGCTCAGTGCTGCTTACAAGTGTGCTCGGAGGAGATGCATGGTGCCGCTTACCAGTGTGCGTGAGACACGAGCGTGCTCTGCTCTTGCTCTCCAGCCGCTTTCATACCCAAGGCTGGTGCCCTAAACTTGAGAGCCCTCCAAGGGCAGGACCACATGGACCTTTCCTGCCTTCTCTGGGTTTGCAGATTTGGGTCAATTGAATGCGACAAGTGTTAACAAACATCTGAGGGAAGCTGGGCTGCTCCTGAGTGGGCCTGCCTCCCGCCATGACAGAACATTGCCCCTTAGGAGGTCAGGGGAGGCTTCCTGGAGGAGGTGGTGATATCCAGGGCTGTTGGATTCCAAGGCCCAGTGACAATCACTCATACCCAGGAACTGACAAAAAGTGTCAGTCTAAAAGCAGCTAGGAATCTTCCCATACCTTACCAGATGATTATTTTTTTTTTTTCAAAACAGAACTTCCTGGAGCTAATCCCAGAGGACAGTGGCTGGGCCATTGGCCACAGAAGCCCTCCCAAACCAAAAACCTCCTCTGTCCCTCCTGGAATCTGCCAACTTCCCACAGCGCTGCCAGTCTCTTCTCTGATGCTCCCATGGCTGGTGGATTCCCCTTCCAGATTCCAGACCCAGCAAGACACTTGAGGATTCAGAAACCCTCAGCTGCCTGTCTTGGTACTTGCCACATGTAGGTGAGGTCTTTAGCCTGGATTCCAGGCCCCTTAACCCCACCTCTGGTGAAGCCAGCCACCCCTTTCCTGTGGTCTGTGGAGTCTCATCTCTGCTGCTTTTTTCAAATGGTTCTCCTGGACCAGACTACCATCCCCCTCACTTTTCTCCTGTCCGAAGCCTTCTCCATCTGCCCCAGCCGAGGCTGACCCCCTCAAGGGTGATAGGCATTGACTTCTTCACAAACCAATCCTCCAGGAAACCAATAGAACCCCTCTCTTCCCACTGAGTGAGGAGACAAGCCTTAAGAATCTTTACCCTGGTTTTCAGATCGTTTTTAAGCAGGGGTTGGAGTGTTCAATGGTGAGCCAAGAGTTGGGGAGCATGACCAAGAATTTGTCCAAGCCACCCTTCCCACTGCCAAGAGCCCCTGAGATCATGCAAAGGTATGAAAATGGGGTGATCCCAGAGACTGGCACTGGAACTCAAGAAAATCAGGATCAAATCCAGATTGTCTGAACTAGAGGGAATCCATTATACTTATGGGGAAACTAAGGCAGTGTCTACAGAGAGGCTTTTACATACAACACTCCTTGCTCCACAGCAAGGCTACAGTAATTTTCTAATTCATACATTGTGCTTTTGAGAACCTTCTGTCATTGTCAATTGAACTAAAAACTTCGGTCCTGCAAGGTTGTGCACAGAATGCAGAAAGTAGAGCTGGCTAGGACCTTACAGCCATCTAACCCAGACAGGGAAACAGACCCAGAGAGGCTACAGGCTTGCCCAAGGTCACACAACTTTTTTTTTTTTTTTTTTTTTGAGATGGATTCTCACGTTGTTGCCCAGGCTGGAGTGCAGTGGCATGATCTCGGCTCACTGCAACCTACACCTCCCTGGTTCCAGCAATCCTCCCTCTTCAGCCTCCTGAGTAGCTAGGATTATGGGCACATGCCACCACACCTGGCTAATTTTTATATTATTAGTAGAGATGGGGTATCACCACGTTGGCCAGGTTGGTCTTGAACTCCTGATTTCAGGTGATCTGCCTGCCTCGGTCTCCCAAAGTGCTGGGATTATAGGCATGAGCCACTGCCCCCGGTCAGTCACACAGCTTTGAAAGGGAGTTTGCTGATCTGGGTTTCCTGGCTATAAACAGGAACACACTTTTCCATGCCAGTGACTAGTTGGAGAGAAGCCCTTACCTCCATAACTGGCTCTAGGGCAGGAAGCCCACAGAACCCTAAGCCTATGCGTTGCTGTATGCTTTGCATACACTGTGCGCAGGAGCAGAGTTCAACCTTCATTCCTGGTCACCCACACACCTGCTATGGACAGTACCTGCTGGATGTGGAGGCTGGGCTTATGGGAGAGGAGCACCAGCCCTGGTGTCTCTGAGAGCACCTCTTCCCCTGCTGCCACACTCCAACTAGGGAAGTCTCTCCAAATTTAGCTCTAGAGTCCTGGCTGAACACTGACACTAGGCTTCTGTCTTTGGAGGTTTTACAGGCAGGAATGCTGGCCATTCTACTGCCTGCCCAGCCTGACTACTGCCTCCTCAATCTTGGGAATGAGGACCTAAACACTGAGAAGAGAGAAGAGAAAGTAATTCATGACACCTTCTAGATGCCAGCCTGGGTGAGGGTGGGAGTAGGAGCCAGTGCCACCTCCCACCTGCAGCTCCAGATCCCCAGGGTCTCCAGCTAGGGGCTTGTTGCTTCTATTGGGCATGGGAAAGAACAGCTGCCTAGAGAGGGTGTGGATGCAGGGAGGAGACAGGCAGGCAGGGCAGAAGGGAGGGAAGAGGAGTGGAACGAGAAGTAGCAAAATTACTAAAACCCAAAACCAGCCATAACCCTGAACAAAACATAGCTTAAGAATTGACAACACCAACACAGCCAGCACTAAAGGAAGAAACTAAGGGCACGGGGAGAAACAGGGAGAAAGATCAAGGGTGGAGAATACAGAGGTTGGGCGGAGATGAGGGCAGGGACCTGGACAGAGACCGGAAGAGGGAGATCAAGGGAAGAAGGAAGGAGAGAGAAGCAGAAAGAGAAGGGATAGCTAGAGTGAGCCACAGAGGCTGCAGGGCAGGGGTGGGAGGGAAGAAGAGATGGGGGCAGGGCAGGGGGCCTGGGGCAGGCAGGTGCCTGAAAATATAGCTTTATATATTTATATTTATATCTCACATTCCACACATAGACTCACTAGGGTGGCAGAAGGGGAGGGAGGAAAGGGAGGAGGCACTATTGAGATGGGGATCTAGCCAGGGAGAGCCTCTCACTTCCCGGAGGAAAGCTTGGGGCACCCCAGCCTCTCACCTCCTCCCCATTCAGCCTCCAGGGGGTCCAGGCAGGGCCATGCAGAGGGTATGTAGGTGTGGGCTTCACTTCGGGCTGGGTATGGGGAAGTGGGGCAGGGAATAGGACACCAGGCCCTAGGATCCCTGGGCTCATGAAGTTAACTCCTTGAGAGCCACCTGGGGATAACCACGGGGCGAGGAGGGGATACCCAAGACCCCTGGGAGGCCAGACAGTCAGTTGGGCAGTGTGTCGAGTCCCAGGGAGGCTGCATGCTGCTTAGCCCGGAGCCGCAGGTTCTCGATGCTTGTGGTTTTACTGTTCAGGGCAGCTGTTGCAGGAGCCAGGCCCGCTGGGGGTGCAGGCAGCAGTGGGGACCCCCACACACCCTGGTGGGCAGCAGCGGCTGCTGACAGGGACTGGTAGTAGGACTGGCAGTGCAGTGAGCCCAGCGGGGCCATGTTGACACCCAGGTAGGGCACAGCGGCAGCAGCCGCCGCGGCAGCAGCAGGGGCGGGACCCCCCACTTCGAAGGATGAGTAGTGCACCAGGTTATTGGTGGCCGCCATGTGCTGACGGAATTGCTCCTGCAGACGGAAGAGGCTCAGAGGGGACGAGGAGTAGGAGTGGGAGGGTCCCAGGAGGCCACCCCCTGGGGCCGCAGGAGGGAGGGTCAGGCTGCCTGGGGAATCTGCAAGCAGAGAACCCAAGAACAAAGCACTCAGGACAAGAGCATTTGTCTGCCAGGTGAAGTACGCTCAGCCTTCTCACCCCCTCGGCGCTACAGACAAGACAGGCTTCGGCTGAAACCACATCCATCCCATCCCAGCCAGGGCATCCCCTGAAACAAGGCTCAGAATCCTAGGAGAAAGGGACCCAGGCTTCCTGGGAAAGCCCCGGGGGCCCTGCCAAGGCCCCCATGTCTGTCTCTTTTTCTTTTCAAGGGCTGTAACCTCCCCTGCCGCTCCCCTGCCCAGTGCTCCCATTCCCTCCCTCCAACCTTCAGCTCACAGCCCAGTCCCCTCCCTGCTGGGCTTAGGGTTTGTGTCTGAGATATGCCTCATGCCAGAGCTCTGTTTCTTCAGAAATGTGCTCAGAGTCTCTGCTGCATGTGGAAATCTCTGATGCCAATGCAGTATTTGCCCAGTATGCACCAAGACATCCAACTGGTTGTTAAAATATTGGAATACTGGCTGGGTGTGGTGGCTCATGCCTGTAATGCCAGCACTTTGGGAGGCCGAGGCGGGCAGATCACCTGAGGTCAGGAGTTTGAGACCATCCTGGCTAACACAGTGAAACCCCGTCTCTACTAAAAATACAAAAATTATCCAGGCGTGGTGGCACACACCTGTAGTCCCAGCTACTCTGGAGGCTGAGGCAGGAGATTCGCTTGAGCCAAGGAGGTGGAGGTTGCAGGGAGCCAATATGGCGCCACTGCACTCCAGCCTGAGCAACAGAGCGAGACTCTGCCTCAGAAAAAGAAACTGGAATACTTCCAAATGGTTGATAAATAATTTTTGCCCTGAGCTCTGGCAGTATCCTTCCCCTGCTACTCAGCCCATCCCTCAGAACCCCCTGGACCTTCCCACAACTCAGCAACTAAAGGGTGAAGACCTGGCCCAAGCCTGCTGTGGCCAGTCCATTCTGATGGGCCATGACCCTGAGGGGCAGTTGATTACTCCCTCCCTACCTCTGACCCGCTTCACACGCTCAGGTCCCCCAGGCCCCAGCTCTCCCATGGCACCCCTCAGACCTCACCTGCCTTGGGGCTGCCCCTCTTGCAGCCCAGCCCCTTGCTCTCAGCCCCAGGGCTCTTCTCAGCTTTGAGGTCCTCAGCCCCTGCCCGAGGATCCTCCTCACGGTCCGGCTGATCCTCGGGAGCTGATTCACTGGCCGACTGCTCAGACAGACTCAGGTGAAGCTCAGCAGGGGGGTCACCGCCAGGCAGACGTGGGGGCTGGTCAGTGTCCAGCTGGGTATCTGGAGTGGGGGCCTCGGTCTTGCCTTCCCCGTGGGAGCCCTCAGCCTCCTTCTGCTTCTGGAGCTGTTCCTTCTGCAGGCTGCGCTGCTTCTTCCGGAACTTGGCCCGGCGGTTCTTGAACCACACCTGGAGACAGGAAAGGAGCAGTCCGAGGTGGGCAAGAAAGAAGTGGAGTTGGCGTGGAGCAGGGTGCTCTGGGAGAAGAGGTACATGATCACATTGCCCCCACCCCTCTAGGGAACACACACCTTCTGTCCCTTCCCAAACTGCCCTCCTATCACCGAAGGCTTTGATGGAGAGATCAGTTGCACCTTGGCACAGGGGTGACATGCTGGCTCCTGGACAAGGCCAGACTGATGGGCTGGTGTTTGTCTGCAAGGCCTAGTCAGGAGAGTTGGTCCCTACCTGCACCCGGGCTTCGGGCAGGTTGGTGCACATGGCCAGCCTCTCACGCATCACCACATCTGGGTAGTGAGTCTTCTGGAAGGTCTTTTCCAGGGCCTCCAGCTGCTGAGCCGTGAATGCCGTGCGGCTGCGACGTTGTTTGCGGTGCTGGGAACCATAACGGGCCTCCAAGATGATGTCTTGAAATGTACAGCCGTTGGAGGGCAAGGAGAGGGGGCCCATTTAATTACGGGAAATAGTTTTGAATCTTATCCTGCTCTGACCCACTGTGGATACCCAGGCTGCTGCCAGAGCTGGCCCTAGTCCCTTGCCCTTAGAAATCACCCATCTCCATGTGGCTGTGAGCTTTCAAGTTCTCTCCACCCCATTATGCAGCATCAGTACCACAGAGGTCTAACTCAACTCCACAAATGGCTGTCAGGCATACGATTGGGGTGGGGGGGGTCTTTGTTATTCGGCATTGGGGGTGGGTAAGTGGGTATTGCCCTAAGATGGATACTGTGAGTATATTTTGAGACTCCATGACGCTAATAATCTGTAAGTCTATATCACAAGAGTCCTAAGACCCTACAGCCCTTAGATTCTGAATACTAAGACATCTTTAGCATTAGAGTACTGGTCTCGGCCCATGAGAAGCCAGGCTGGGCTGGTACCCATCTCAACGTCTAGTTAAGGGAGGACTGACTAAGCAAATGGAATTCACTGGCACTCCATCCTCTGTTCTGTACACGTAAACCACCTCATCCCGGCTGGCCTAGAGTCTCTGATGGCAGGGCCTGAGGCTCCTGCTCTTCTGTTTCATGAACAGAGAGCCTGGCTGGGGGAAGAACGAAGAGGGGAGGGTGGGGGCAGCAGGGCTCAGGTCTCAGGTAAGGCTTGTTGTACTCCGTCTTTATCCTGTGGCTGCCTCCCCAAGGACAGAAGGACAAAGAGACCAGGTTCTAACCACTGCAGGCTTGGAGGGGAGACAGGACTATGGACTGTTGATTCCATGGTACCATCTACATGTCTGGTAATATGATAACACCCAGGATAGGTACCTGCCTGGGGCTGGGGTCTAGCCTCCATCCTGGGGTCTAGCCTTCAGCCCTTTTGCTTGAATAGCCCCTGGAGAATAGACAGTAACCTCTGTCCTCACTGCCTCCAATCATGTCATAATTGGATCCTGCCCTGTCTGTGCTGAAGGGAACTTGAGTCATCTCAGCCTCTGCATTGGGCTGCCAGAGTCCTTCCCCTGCGCTCCAGGGAATGGGAAGTCATCCACAACACCCTAAATAGGAAGAGGCAGCCAGGCACAGGCCAGATCACGGCTGTAACCCCAGCACTTTAGGAGGCCAAGGCAGGTGGCTCACCTGAGGTCAGGAGTTCGAGACCAGCCCAGCCAACATGGCAAAACCCCATCTCTACTAAAAATACAAAAGATTAGCTGGGTGTGGTGGCAGGCACCTGTAATCTCAGCTACTAGGGATGCTGAGGCAGGAGAATCCCTTGAACTCAGGAGGTAGAGGTTGCAGTGAGCTGAGATCACACCACTGCACTCCATCCGGCCTGGGCGACAGAGCAAAACTCCATCTCAAAAAAAAAAAGATCAGGTGTGGAGGCTCACACCTGCAATCCCAGCACTTTGGGAGGCCGGTAGATCCCCTGAGGTCAGGAGTTTGAGACCAGCCTGGCCAACATGGTGAAACCCCGTCTCTACTAAAAATACAATAATTAGCCAGGTGTGGTGGCACATGCCTGTAATCCCAGCTAGTCAGGAGGCTGAGGCGGGACAGTCACTTGAACCCGGGTGGCAGAGGTTGCAGTGAGCCGAGATGGCACCATTGCACTCCAGCCTGGGCAACAAGAGGGAAACTCCATCTAAAAAAAAAATAGGAAGAGGCAACTTGGTATCCAGGAAGCCCCAGACTTTGAGATACTTCTCCAGCTTAAAAAAGAATCTCTGAACCCCTCACAGACTGACCTTAATCCTGGGCCTGACTCAGCCCTGAGCTCTTGTCGGTCATCCTGGGGCAGGCGAAGGCATGGGGACTGCTCTGTCAGCCCTACTCTGGTTGCGGGAGGAGCAACAGCTCAGCATCCTACTGCTGGCTCCAGGGACTACAGGGGTGGAGTCAGGGTAGGTGTCACAGGGAAGCCAGATTCTTTTGTTTTTTGTTTTCTTTTCTTTTTTTGTTCTTTCTTTTTATTTTATTTTCTGAAGCCAGACTCTTTAAACCTTGGGCAGAGCCTCTGCTAGAAGGCAAGGCTTCCATACAAAGGCTCACCTGGAGTTCATGTTCTTCCTTTTTAAGAATTAGCTGGGGGTGGGCTGAACACCCCAGTTCCTCTGCCCCCACCGGCGGACATGAGCCCCTGTCCCTGACTCCTCTCTGTGCTCTGGTCCTCGGGTCCTGGAATACTGTCAGGAGCTGATGTCACCACCAGGTTGGGCACAGGACTGTATCCAACATCCCCACACTAGAAACTCATGCCTCCACATTGCTCCAGGGAAACTTTTACCCACTGAGTTCTGCCCAGAGGCCTGGCGGAGTCTAAAGGAGTGAGACTGGCCATGCTCTCCTTGCCAGGCCAGTGCCGCTACCCATGTGGAATCTTCAGATCCCTTCCCATTCTGTGCCTTTCCTCATGTTGGCCCCCTACTCCTTGCCATGCCTTTTTGAGGCCTGGTTCCTGCCCCTATGGCCTTCAGAAAGCTCTCCCTGACTACCCCAGCTGATCCTGTTGCTCTGAGCGGCCCCAGCATTTGACCCTGGACATCCTCCTGTTGTGCCCTCTTATGGGTCATGGGCACCTGTTCTCCCTAGGAGTTCCCTGAAGTTATCTGAGGCCTGCCTGGCACAGGGCTGGGCCCATGTGGGTTTACCAGCTGCTCAAGTCTCTGCTGAATACTTTGAATATGTTATCACAGATCACCTCCCAACCACCCTAGGGGATAGGCATGGCCGTTGTCTCCTTTTTATAAAAAGAGAAACTGAGGCTCAGAGAAGAGAGCTGAATGGGAAAGCCCCGAGCTGACCAAGTCTGGGACTCCAAAGCTCATATTTTTAGCCATGTTATTTTCCAACCCCACCCAGCCCAGATTTAGCCTCTCTGAGCCTCCATTTCCTTGTTCATAAAATGGAAATACCTCTCTACATGGGGATTGGATCATTTGATACACACAGAAAGAGAGACCCCCACAGTGCCTAACCCACAGTTGGTGTCAAAACACAGAAGCCATTATTTACAATTCCCTGTGCCTGAACTCTCCTTGCCTGAGCACTCCGGGCCTCTTCCAGCTACTTCCCAGCCGGAATACTCTGGGCCCTCCTACCCCATTTCTTCATCTGTGAGATAAGGCTAATGCATGCCTCCCTCATGGGCTTGTTATGAGAATTTGAAGGCATAGGGCAGCTCCAGAGCCTTGGACAGTGTTGGCAAACAAAAGACGCTCTGGATATACACACATAGCTTTGAATTGACATCTCTCTGTGTGGTAAGTGACCTGAGTCTTTTGGAGCTGCCTGGAAGAAGCTTGTCCAGTGCTCCCTCTCCTGTTTGCCTTCCAGAACCTCCACCCCCAATCCCCACAGTCCCATCTCCGTGGTCCAGTCCCCAGGGCCCTTACCAGCCAGGCGCTCAGCCAATGTAAGCGCATGCACCGAAGGCCGGTAGTCAGGGGCATGCTGGGCCTGCTGGGCTGCCTGCTGGTGCAGGTTGTACATGGCACTCAGTGAGTTCATGGCATGCAGCGAGTAGCCATTCACCCCGTAGTGCTGCATGGCGGCATCTGCCTACAGATGGAAGAGGGAAAGAGACATGAGGCAGGGCTTTCAGACTCTGCCCTCAGGGGGACCCACCCCCAGTCCAGCCTGGATGCCCACCTTCTTTTCTTCTTTATCTTTTTTGAGATGGAGTTTTTGCTTTTGTTGCCCAATCTGGAGTGCAATGGCACGATCTCAGCTCACCGTAACCTCCGCCTCCCAGGTTTAAGCCATTCTCGTGCCTCAGCCTCCCGAGTAGCTGGGGTTACAGGCATGTACTACTATGCCCAGCTAATTATTGTATTTTTAGTAAAGACGGGTTTCTCCATGTTGGTCAGGCTGGTCTCGAACTCCCAACCTCAGGTGGTTCGCCCACCTCATCCTCCCAAAGTGCTGGGATTACAGACATGAACCACCCCGCCCGGCTGATGCCCACCTTCTGATGGGGCAGAAGCTCTCTCTATCAGAAAGGAGGCTGTCTTGTCCATGGCTTACCAGGTGAGGGCTCTTGCATTCACTCCTTCATTCACCCACTCATTCATTGATTCACTCAGCAGGGCCAGTGTGGGTTTAGGGCTCTGGGCTAGAACCTCAGGACAGGCTAAAACCTCAACTCCACCACTCAGGAGATTTGTGGCTCTGGGCATGTCACTTCACTTCTCTGACCCACAGTTTCTCTATCTGCAACATGGGGTTAATATCAGTACCTGTCTCATAGGGTTACTGCAAGGATTAACAGAAGCTTTTACAAAGGACTGGATCATATTATATACAGTACTCAAAAGTATTAGTCGTTGTGATTTACAAATTCATTTGCTGCTTTATGCAATCATCTCTTCATTCAATTATTCGGGCACTTACTCATTTTTACCTTCATTGATTCACTCACACACTTATTACTTATTCAACCAATACCCATTGAGGGCCACTTGGAGCCAAGCCCAGAGCTAGATTCTCCACTGAGGCATTTGCTTTGAAATGTGATAAACCCTAATGTCCTGCACAAACGTAAGAATACCGTTGTTATGACTGTCGTATGCTCACTGCCATTACCTCCCATTATTCTCACCGTATCTCCAAGAAGCAAGCCAACCAAGAATGATGAGCCCCACTTGCAGCTGAGTCTACTGAGGCTTAGAGAAAGAACAGCGTCAAGCTGAGGCCACACAGCCAGTCCAGGGTCTGCCCCACTCCACATTCCTGCAGTCTTATTCTTTCATGGCCAACTGTCCCAAGGAAATCTTCCATTCCTCAGGGAAGACGTCCATCCTTCTGAGACAGCTCCACCGTCAGCAGGAGGCTGCCAAGGTCCCATCCGGACCCTCACCCACCCTGCAGCAGTGTGAAATGTCATTTTTGGAACTGATTCCACATCTGGAATCTCCCCAAAACACAACAGTGTTTCTTATTTCCCAAGTGTGGGAGGTGAAAAGAAAAGGCTGGGGCAATGGTAGGTCCATTTGATAAAAGGAAGACATATGCAGGTATCTCAGCTCCTCACTGAAATAGATGTGGGCTATACAGAATCACGCACAGCTGCAGGCAAGCACACGCACGTTTCATGCACAAATACACGTAGGCAGACATTCTTGGCAAGGCATTCATAGAGCTGGCCTATTCACAGACACAAAATGTTATTTCCCCACCATTCCACGCACAGACATGCTCACAGATATCTATTCATGCAGCAGAGACATCTACACACAAACATTACACTCCAACATATAGAGTGTATGTTTTCTATTTTATGTTTTACCATGTGAGGGCTCACACATCCATTTCTATATTACACATATTCATCCAACATATATTTATTAAGCACCCACTTACTAAGTAGCAAAGTCCCTAGCTTCATGGAATTTACATTCCTAGATGTGGGGGGATGTATAACAATGAATAAAAATATACATACTAATGTCAGACAGGAATACAGTCTCTGAAGAAAAATAAGGCAGGGGAGGAGGATGACAAGAGGGAAAGGAGAAATTGTTGTGGAACATGTAGTCAGGAAAGGGTTCTCTGACATTTGAGCAGAAACTTGAAGCAAGGCACGTGGAGCTCTCAGGGAGACTTTCTAGGCAGAAGGAACAGCAAGGACAGAGGCCTTGGGGCATGGACAGGCTGTGACTGTAGAGCAGCAAGAAAACAAGGGTGGATGGAGCACAGAGAGAGGGAGCAGGCGAAGGAGGTGAGGTTGGAGAGAGAGGGGCCACTAGCCAGAGGGCTCCACCGCCCATTGTAATCCTATGGCTCAATGGAAATCCCATCTGGATTTTATCCTGAGTGTGATGGGATGCCCCTGGAGGGTCTTGAGGGGAGTAACATAATATGATCTGGGTTTTTTGCTTTGTTCTGTTTTTTTTCTGAGACAAGGTCTTGCTGTATCTCCCAGGCTGAAGTGCAGTGGTACAAACTTGGCTCTCCATAGCCTCAATCTCTGGTACTCAAGCAATCCTCCTACCTCAGCCTCCCGGGTATGCTGGGACTACAGGCGTGCACCATCATGCCAGGATAGCTTTTTAAATTTTTCTATAGAGACATGGTCTCACTATGTTGCCCAGGTTGGTCTCAAATTCCTGGGCTCAAGCAATCCTCCTGCCTTGGCCTCCCAAAGTGCTGGGATTACAGGCGTGAGCCACCACACCTGGCCTATGATTTATTTTTAAAAGCTCAATTTGGCTGCTATACAGAGAATAAACTGCAGAGTTGCAAGAAGAAAAGCAGAGAGAGCAGGCCACTAGGACACCGCAGAAGTCCAGGCTGGTGACCATGCTGCCTTCACTAGAGTGGAGGAGGTGACAAAAAATGGTCAGATTCTGGTAGTTTGAAGGTAGAATCAGCATGATTGCTGATAGCTTAGTTATAAGATGTGAGAAAAAGAGGCCAAAAAAAAAAAAAAATAGGATAACTCAAGTTTCCATCCTGAGCAGCTGAGTGAAGATGGGTCCTTTCCTGAATGAAGAGCACTGAGTTGGAGAAGCAGATCTGGGGAGGGAGAGAATGGAAATCAAGGTTTGGAGGGACATGGCAAGAGTGACTGACATGAATTCAACTTCCGGGTAAGCATGTTGAATTGGCTGTTGGATGTGGGAGTCTGGAGCTGAGGGCTAGATTTACAGATTCTGAGTCAGCACTAACACACTAGCTTCCTCCAACAGCATTCACTTACAGAAGCCTTCTCCACACACCAGAACCATAACCTCAAGGCAGAAAGCTAAGAGAAAAGAGTGATAGACGACCGGGCGCGGTGGCTCACACCTGTAATCCCAGCACTTTGGGAGGCCGAGGCAGGTGGATCATAAGGTCAGGAGTTTGAGACCAGCCTGGCCAACATAGTGAAACCCCATCTCTACTAAAAATACAAAAATCAGCCAGGTGTGGTAGTAGTGCCTGTAGTCCCAGCTACTCAGGAGGCTGAGGCAGGAGAATTGCCTGAACCCAGGAGATGGAGGTTGCGGTGAGCCAAGATCTCGCCATTGCACTACAGCCTGGGCAACAAGAATGAAACTCTGTCTCAAAAATAAATAAATAAATAAAGAGAAAAGAGTGATAGACATGGTGAGATGAAGAATTTACCCCTCAATATAACAGAATATATCCATAAACAAAGCTAAAAGGCAAACAACAAATTTGGAAAAATATCTGTTATATACTGTATATGCCATAGAGGAATTCATAAAAAATAAATAACACAAATCAAATAAAAGGGAATATCCATAATATACAAAGAACTCTTATTTGGGAATAAAAAAATAAAGATGGGTGCACTGGCACACACCTGTAGACCCAGCCATTCAGGATGATAAAGTGGGGGGATCACTTGAGCCCAGGAGTTTGAATTCAGCCTGGGCAACATAGCAAGACCACATCTCTAAATAAATAAATAAAAAGATGGTTACCTTAGTGAAAGATAGGCTAAGTAAATGAAGAAACAACTCATTAATAAAGAAATACAAATAGCCAACCGACATGACAAAAAGCTCAGCCTTATTTATAAACAAAGAAAGAAAAAGGCTGGGCGCTGTGACTTAGGCCTGTAATCCCAGCACTTTGGGTGGCTGAGGTGGGCAGATCATTTGAGGTTAGGAGTTTGAGACCAGCCTGGCCAGCATGGTGAAACACCACCTCTACTAATAAATACAAAAATTAGCCAGGTGTGGTGGCCCATGCCTGTAATCCCAGCTATTCGGAAGGCTGAGGCAGAAAAATCACTTGAATCCGGGAGGCAGGGGTTGCGATGAGCCGAGATCACACTACTGCACTACAGCCTGGGCAACAGTGAAACTGTGTCTCAAAAACAAAAATAATAAGATCATTATTTACCAATCAGATTAGCAAATATAAAGAAAAATTATTACACAGGGTTATCTAGAGGAGTGGGAAATGGTCCTTCTCCTACCTTGACGGCAGAAGAGCTATTTACTCCTTACATCAAAAGCCTTTAGAGAGTACATCGTCTTTGACCCAACAATTCCATTTCTAGAAATGTACCCTTCAAGTATGCAGAGATATGATGGGAATATTTATCACAGCACTGCCTGCGATGGCAAACAATTGAAAACCTAACTATCCATCGAGAGAGGATTAGTTTAGCAAGTGAGGGGACAGGTAGGCCCACAGTGGAATACGGCACTGCAATTTAAAACGATGTGTATCTGTATGTGCTGATGTTCACAAGATACTGTTGAGTGGGAAAAATAGGCAACAAAACAATACGCATGATGTGATCCCATTTTTGTAATGCATGTATAAATATGCATAGAAAAAAGTCTGGAAGGTGATACCCTTAAATGTTAACAGAGGTTATCTCTGGGAGATAGCAGATGGGATTACAGGTGATTTTCACATTTATATTATTTCTTTCTTTCTTTTTTGGTGGGGGTAGGGGCTGGGAGGAGGTATCCACGTCTTTTGCTGGATATGAGGATGAAACCAGGCTCCAGAGTGTGTCAGAAGCTCCAGGTGAGGAAGGGGGAACGGAGTTTAGAAGTCATTTCATCCATTCCAACTCCTGCTATTGGAATGCCTCT